GTAGGGAAAAAGGAGGAGGGGGAGGAGAAACCGTGAAGGAGGAAATCTGGTGGCACAAATAATCAATAATAATGAAATAGTGCTTAATAATGAAATAGTAATGTGTAATTGTAATAGATATGAATTTTTTAATTATAGGATACTTTCTAATTGCAGAACTATAGGCCAATAAGTCCTCTGTAAAACTGATCAATCTTGGGGAAAAACAAAATAGTAGAATCGATTCGAGAACAATAAAAAAAAACTCGAATAGGTCAATATTCATGGCATAAAAAAAGTGTAAGTGATTAAAACAGCCTTACTTTTGAATATATCTGGAACTGAGCGCTGACGACAGGTCCAGCCGAGAGTCGGGGTTGATGTGGTCCAGTTGTACTTGCCGCTGTTATGCCTAATAAGCCAGTGTTTTAAAACTGAGAAGTTTCACACAAAATCCAGACTTCTACCTACCCCAGAAAAATGAAAAGATCAGCATTCATCCTCCTGTGAAAAGGCCAGTATAACGCAGAGATGCTTGCAGAAGCGCACGGCTGGGAATTCGGAGAAAGCATCAGCCGTCGGGAGCGGGGAAGGGTGAATGGCCAGTGCCGACATTTTTCTTTCTTTGACACCTGCAGTTGCCCGTAGGAGAGTCTCCCTGTGGCTTTGACCCAGTGGAATTTTGAAGGACAAAAGGTCTGTCCGTGGGAGACTAATCCCTCCTTGACTCCATTCAACCCCTCAGGCCCTTGGACTTACTGGAGCTACTCACACTGCAGGAGGCTGGGCCCTGCCCTCAGGGGGAGGTGACAGGTACCCGATTTGTGTTTTCCAGGCTCAAATCCCATCACGGGTCCAGAGGAAGTGAGTGGCATGGAACGGGGCTCCCTGACTGTGCCGTGTCGCTATGATCCAGTGTGGAAGACCTACAGGAAGTGGTGGTGTCGAGGAGCTGCTTGGAGTAGCTGCAAGATCCTTGTTCAAACTACTGGATCAGAGCGGGAGGAGAGGAAGGGCCGTGTGTCCATCATGGACAGTCAGGGAAACTTCACGTTCACCGTGACCATGGAGGAGCTCAGGCTGGACGATGCAGACACCTACTGGTGTGGGATCGAGAGAGCCGGAACCGACCTGGGCCACCATGTCCGTGTGCTCATCAGCCCAGGTAGGAACTGCTCCCTCCTGTACGCCGAGGCCCCGGTACTGACCTGTGGAGACTGC